TAAAACCTCCTTCACGGTCATGATTTCTATTGTGTTTCCTTCATGAATTATTAACGAGTTTTTTAAATGATGAATCCATTCATGAGCCAGGGAAGTGTTATAGGAATCATTTATCATTTGTCTGTAACTGAATAAATTCAGAAAAAAATCAAAGTCCCCGATAGGAATCGAGCCCATTACCTTCCGGATACCGGTGTGATGTTCTACCACTGAGCTACAGCAAAGACTCATTAAGAGCGGTCATTTACTGGGTTCATTATGCACATATTTTACGTGTTTTTTGTTTTGTTAGATCCTCTTGAAACACTAGAAATCGACCTGGGCTTTGCCATTAGCGCAACCTCAAGTGACCCTACCAAGACCTACAAGCTAATGAAGGACACCATAAAAGAAATAATCGATCGATATTGGACAAAGAAAATTCTTTACTCTGTTATCGTCTATGGCGCTAGGCCTGTTATTGTGACGTCATTTTCTGACGTCATACCCTCTGCTGCGTCCCTAAAACAAAGAATCGAGGCTACACCGCGTGAACAGGGAGGAGCTGCCCTTGATCACGCTTTGGACGAGGCGAGGAAGATCTTTGAAGGTCGAGGTGGACGGGTGAATGCTAAGAAAATACTAGTGGTGATCACGGATGCAGAGTCTGGGGTCAGCAAGAACGATATAAGGTTTGTATTTAGTAATTTGACAAGATATCAACCGAAATATAGCGCGAGCGAGTCATGTTTTGGTGGACGCCAATCAAAGTGTTTCCCAGAATTGTCGTAAAACGCAAAGCTTTTAAGGGCACGTGCCTATGAAATGTCATGGCAACACATTGATTGACGTCCACCAAAACCTATTATAAAACAACTGTTGTGAATGTCGCGTTCTGATTGGTTGAGAGCGCATGCTTTATGAGAGCACATTGCACGCGCGCGCACTTTCCGTTGCGTCATTCCTATCTAAAATAACAGTTATTGTAATTTGTATTTTATAAAAGAAATAAAAAACTTCCTTGCAGTGCTGTGTGCCGTTATAAAGCACTTGGGAATTGGCAGAAAACTCGAGAAGTGTTTCCTCTCCGCTACGCGTCGTGCTTTTCCTAACACTTTTCTCGTGTTCTGCCAACCCCCGCGTGCTTTATGACAGCATACAGCACGCGCGCGCGTTATCTATTTCTTCACTTCGTCATGATGGCAAATTGTACGATTTCAAAAACGTTCTTATTAGTATGAAAATATCTGAGCTTCTTACAAATGGGTGTGGTTTTCTGGTTTCATCTAAAGCTAATTTTCGGTTAGTTCTCTGGTTGCGTAGCAAGGTCGGATCTAGGGGTGAATTAGCAAGACCTAAAAAGGACGCTATGTGATGCCTTTCTAGATAACAGTCACACCCCTTGAAATTATTCTTGATCCGCCACTACGTAAAGCATTCATGAAAAACTTTCTTTTCCATTCCTTTGATTTCTTAATGTTGTATTATTTGAAGATCTGCTGCCAAACCTCTGGACAACAAAGGAATCCTGGTGATACCAGTTGGTGTTGGAGGTGAAGTTGGTAAACGAGATCTTGAGAACGCCACGCCGCTAAAAGAGAACATCATTCAAGTCCCGAAAACAGAAACCCCGAAAGATTTGGCGCAGAAGATCATAGATAAGATTCGTAGAGCTGGAGGTAAGATACCAATTCATCATGTAGCATGCGTGTTTTTCTGCATGAAATATCAAATTGGTGGCCGCCATCGTTTGTGACCTTTTTTACTTTTACTTTCTTTTATTTTTGTCCTACTTCTTTAATACGTTAGGGAGGGTTGGGAGGGCTGTTAAATTCCCGGGCAGTGGTGGTGGTGGGCCAGGGAGGA